CACAGATAGAGGAAGAGCTAAATCAGTGGTCACCACGTCCCATGGGCTACATGCATCTTTTTGCATGCCTTTAGCCAGCTCTTGGGGCAATAATACTCCTACTGACCCCATTGACGCGGCACTATTCCTCCCACTGATGCCAACAATGGGGCATTATTCCATCTATTGCATCCAATGATGAGTTATTATTGCTTCCACTGACCCCAACAATGAGGCACTACTCCTGGCTCGGATACCTATGACGGGGCACTATTCCTGCCACTAATACCAACAATGGGGCACTATTCCTCCAACTGATTCCAGGGATGAGGCACTATTCCTGCCACTGACACCACCAAGGATGGATATTCCTCCCCTCACTGGTCATTTATTTTTTACTCCCACTGACCACCAAGTGAGAAGGAACGTTTACTCCCACTGATCGCCAACACTGTAATCATCTACTCCCACTGACCACAGCTCAACCCCCTAAGGTCTGAAGGACAGTGCAATGGCCCTTTAAGACCCCTGTGCTAAATATCTAAAAGGAGCAGCTGATGGGGCAGACAGAAAAGGGAGGGGCTACAGGATCTAAGTAGTGGCCTATAGGGTAGATAGAGGATGAGGTTAAAGACTCAGAGGAGTGGCCTTATGGGGCAGATGAAGTAGAGACAAAAGATTTCAAGGACTGGCCTATGGGTTGGTCAGAGGAGGGGCTACAGTCTTGAAGGAGCAGCCTATGGGGCAGGCAGCAGAGGGAGGAGCTACAGGATCTAAGGGGTGGCCTGAGGGGTAGATCGAGGATGAGGTTAAAGACTCAGAGGAGTGGCCTATGGGGCAGATGAAGTAGTGAGAAAAGATTTAAAGAACTGGCCTAGCCTATGGGTTGGTCAGAGGAGGGGCTAAGGTTTTGAAGGAGCAGCCTATGGGGCAGACACCACACTGGCCATGATCTGCCTGCGTTGCATAGAGAAGCACAATAATGACATCACTAGGTCTAAAATAAGGGATGAAAATGTTTTATTTGATGGCTTCTCTGTCCATCGAGTGAATGGTACAATACACAGTAGTCTATCCCTGGCCTATGTTCTCTGTACTGTATACATACAGGCAAAGAGAGCAGTATAAATATTTTCAGGAAGAACTCCCCGACGTCCCCTCAGGACACAACTAGAGAGCCAGAGACGCAAACAGCATTCCATTCTCACAAGCTGTAATTGAATTGTGTATCACACTACAATACCTCTATACTGGAAGGTATGGTCGCACCTTTCCCATCTCTGTCTGATAATTATCTCAGGAGCAGCTTACAGCACATAACATATCCCTGGCGCTATATTCTCAGGGGACACATAGACAGAAGGTGACCTGAAACGCGCCACTATCACCAACCCACAGATTCAATTACATAGTAGGAAAGCATTCAGGCTAAACGCCGAGCACAGAAATGTTTTTTTTTAATATATTCCTCAACAGTCACAAAGGATATAAAGCCACTCATGTGAACCAAATGCTTTTGCAAACCAAAATATTGCTACGCAGAGAGCAGAGCAGTGGGAGGGATCCAGTAAGCCCCACCCACTACAGAAAACTACAGGAGGGGTGGAGACAAGACCAGT